AGGAGAGGGAACAGAGGCGGAGGGGGAGACCCCAGGCAAGGGTGTTGCTGGTGGCGAAGGGAAACGCCGACACTTCAGGCAGTTCCGCTACCAGGAGTCAGAGGGCCCCCGAGAGGTTTACATCCGCCTCTGGGAACTTTGCTGTCAGTGGCTGCAGCCGGAGAGGCACACCAAGGAGCAGATCCTGGAACTGGTGGTGCTGGAGCAGTTCCTGGCCATCCTGCCACCGGACATCCAGAGCTGGGTCCAGGAAGGTCGCCCAGAGAGTTGCTTCCAGGCGGTGGCCCGAGCTGAGGATTTCCTGACGGGGCAACAGGAGGCCGAGGAATGGGAGCCGCAGGTGAGCAGCGAGGTCCTTCAGCAGTCCTTCTGAGCCAGCAGGCTTTTTCCTTTGCCCCGAATGACACCCACCCTCTTCTGCTGTTCCAGGTGCCGGATCCATCCACGGAGGTGGCTGTGGGTTTCTCCAGCATGGACCAAGCTCTCCTGGACCTGTACAAGGAGGTGAAGCCAGAAGGTCACCAGGATGCTGGCTGGCTGGGTACAGAATTCGTTTTTCTCTGCCAAACAGCTGACCTACGTGATAGCCAGAATTCGTTTTCTGGGGTTGGGACCAATGCTCCCTCTAAGCTATGGAGTCTTGTGAGCAAAAATTATAAGAACATAAGAGAAGAAGCCAATGTTGGATTAGGCCAGTGGCCCATCCAGTCCAACACTCTGTATCACACAGTGGCCAGAAATACCAGTGCCATCAGGAGGTCCACCAGTGGGGCCAGGACATTAGAAGCCCTCCCACTGTTGACCCCCCCCAAGCACCAAGAAGACAGAGCGTCACTTGCCCCAGAGCCCCTATCTATACCTTGTGGCTAATAGCCACCGATGGACCTCTGCTCCATATGCTTATCTAATTCCCTTTTGAAGCCATCCATGCTTGTGGCTGCCACCACTTCCTGTGGCAGTGAATTCCAAGGGTTAATCACTCTTTGGGTGAAGAAGTACTTCCTTTTATCTGTTCTAACCCGACCGCTCAGCAATTTCATGGAGTGCCCACGAGTTCTTGTATTGTGAGAAAGGGAGAAAAGTACCTCTTTCTCTACCTGCTCTTTCCCATGCATAATCTTATAAACCTCAATCATGTCACATTATGCTTTATGAGCTACTGGCATTAAAGCTGTAAGCAAGCCTTTTGGCTACTGCACAAATTAGTTTGCTCCGGAGCCACCCTTCCTGAGCGAAGGCAACAATGTGTGAGCCAGAGGCTAAAAAACTGTGAACTGGCTCACACTAACTCAGCTTAGAGGGAACACTGGTTGGGACCATGACTCGGTGGTAGTGCATCTGCTTGGTGTGCAGAAGGTCCCAGGTTCAATCCCAGCATCTCCAGTGGAAAGGCTGAGGTAGACCAAGGGTGGACTCAGTAAAAGGCAGGTTCATTTAGGGACGGAGGCAGGGCTCAGCGGTAGAACATCTGCTTGGTATGCAGAAGGTTCCAGGTTCAATCCCCAGCATCTCCAGTGGAAAGGCTGAGGTAGACCAAGGGTGGACTCAGTAAAAGGCAGGTTCATTTAGGGACGGAGGCAGGGCTCAGCGGTAGAACATCTGCTTGGTATGCAGAAGGTTCCAGGTTCAATCCCCAGCATCTCCAGTGGAAAGGCTGAGGTAGACCAAGGGTGGACTCAGTAAAAGGCAGGTTCATTTAGGGACGGAGGCAGGGCTCAGCGGTAGAACATCTGCTTGGTATGCAGAAGGTTCCAGGTTCAATCCCCAGCATCTCCAGTGGAAAGGCTGAGGTAGACCAAGGGTGGACTCAGTAAAAGGCAGGTTCATTTAGGGACGGAGGCAGGGCTCAGCGGTAGAACATCTGCTTGGTATGCAGAAGGTTCCAGGTTCAATCCCCAGCATCTCCAGTGGAAAGGCTGAGGTAGACCAAGGGTGGACTCAGTAAAAGGCAGGTTCATTTAGGGACGGAGGCAGGGCTCAGCGGTAGAACATCTGCTTGGTATGCAGAAGGTTCCAGGTTCAATCCCCAGCATCTCCAGTGGAAAGGCTGAGGTAGACCAAGGGTTTCACTCAGTAAAAATATTTATTTATTTATTAGCTTTCTATTCCACCCTTTCCTGAGGGCTTGGGGCGGATTACAACAATAAAACAACAATTGCATATAAAAATACATAATGTGTAAGATACTAAAGATACTGGCAATAAATAAGCAATAAAATATTTCTGGCCACTGTGTGACACAGAGTGTTGGACTGGATGGGCCTTTGGCCTGATCCAACATTGGCGTCTCTTATGTTCTTATCATATCGGTTCTGGTTAGTCTTTGGATGGGAGACCATCAAGGGTTTTCTCTGTGCAGAGGCAGGCAATGGCAAGCCACCTCTGTTAATCTCTTTCGTTGATAACCCTTCGAGGTGTTGCCTTGAAGCAGCTGTAACTTAATGGCACTTTCTGCTGCCGCAGTTAACATACCTAGGGCAGCTCTGCTCTCCAGTGTGTACAGTATCTTTATTATTTATTTTATTATTTACACACTATCCCTCGTCTCCGCCCCATCAAGGGCCCCTAAGGTGGCTGACAGTTTAGTAAAAATACATCAGATAACCCTTTAGAGGCCAAAGCTGAAACAGATCTATAAAACACAGAAACAGCAGTTTAAAACATAAGGAGGGAAGGAGAGGTCACTGAAGAGACACCAGACAAAACAAGATTGTCTTCAGCCACTGGGGGAAGACAGTGATGGGAGGGGACAGGCAAGTCTTCCTGGGGAAGGAACTGGATCTTTTGGGGCCACACCTGAGAAGGCCCTTCCTCGCCATGCCACCTGTCCCACCTCCGGGGGGGGGGGCACCTGAAGCAGGCATTGTACCTTCTCAAATTGTTATAGTGGGATGGAAATATTCTGTTTGTCTGCCTGTAGCATAAAATGTCAAGGAAAAATGGAAAACCTATAGTGACACTATAACCACCACATAATTCACTGCCACAGGAAGTGGTGACGGCTACGAGCATGGACGGCTTCAAAAGGGAATTAGATAAGCATATGGAGCAGAGGTCCATCAGTGGCTATTAGTCACAAGGTTTAGATAGGGGCTCTGGGGCAAGTGATGCTCTGTCTTCTTGGTGCTTGGGGGGGGGGTCAACAGTGGGAGGGCTTCTAATGTCCTGGCCCCACTGGTGGACCTCCTGATGGCCCCTGGTATTTCTGGCCCCTGTGTGACACAGAGTGTTGGACTGGATGGGCCTTTGGCCTGATCCCACATTGGTGTCTCTTATGTTCTTATCTTCACCTTGACAACCTTCATTGAGAGGAATCTGAGGGTTTGCTTTTCTCTTTCCTTCTCCATCCCAGGAGGTGAGGCACTGCTGAACATGGATGGTGTTGAAAGACCTGAGTGGGAAGAGCTGGATGTGGATTTTGGAGATCCGGGGGAACCAGAGAAGTGGGAACCAAGCCCAGCAGAGGTGTGGAGGAATTCAGCGAATGCTGGTAGCCGGGATGGCCATCCTGAGAGTGCCCTTTCGCCCCCACAGACAAGGGAGAACACTGTCTTCAGGAAACGCTTTGCCCCTAAACTCGGCCTCAGTAGACGCAAGAGGATCCACACAGGGCCAAAGCCCCACAAATGCACCGTGTGTGGGCAGTCCTTCACACGGAGAGCGAATCTTTTCCGTCATCAGACGCTCCACACAGGGCAGAGGGCACACCTCTGCACGGATTGTGGCCGAAGGTTCACACGGCGGGAAAACCTAGTCCGACACCTGAAGACCCACACAGGTGAGAGAAAGAAGGGGGAGGCATCGGCATGACCCGGAAGCACTGAGGGCAAAAGATGGAGGGGAAATAGAAACTGCTTTGGGGGCCCCCATTTGGGGAAGAAAAATGAAGTAAATAAATAAAATAGACCCTGGGTTTCTCTAGCTCAGCATTGTTTCCCTTCTCACCGGCAGCCCCTCAGAACACAGAAAAGTCTTTCTTTTCTCGGCACCTGAAATCCTTGAAGTGGAGATGCCGGGGATGGAACTGGGGCCCTTCTGCCAGCCCCCCGCCATTGAGAGACAGGCGTGATGAAAGTCTGAAGCTGCATTGCCCTTTGTGTCACAGAGTGGCCAAAACCTCTGGCTATCGGCGGTTCTGCAGGGTTTGGGGCAGAGAAAGATCTTTCCAACTTCCTGCTCCCAGAGACCCTTTTAAAATGGAGCTGTGGGGACTGTAGGCAAAGCATCTACCTCTGAGCTGCAGGTGCTGCTGAGGAGCATTCCACCTTGCCTTATTATAGACTAAGAACATCAGAAGAGCCCAGGGTTGCCAGCTCCAGATTCGGAAATACCTGGAGATTTGAGAGTGGAGTTTAGGGAGGAGGGAAAACGACCTTGGTAGGGTACAATGCCATGCAGTCCACCTTCCAAAGCAACCATTTTCTCCAGGAGAAGTGGGGGAAATGTTTGGTGTCGTGGTTAGGAGTGTGGACTCTAATCTGGGAGGACCAGGTTTGATTCCCCACTCCTCCACATGCAGCTGCTTGGGTCAGTCACAAGATCTTTGCCAGTTTGGTGTAGTGGTTAAGTTCATGGACTCTAATCTGGGAGAACCGGATTTGAATCCCCACTCCTCCACTTGCACCTGCTGATGTGACCTTGGGTCAGTCACAAGCTCTGGCACAGCTGTCCTTGAAAAAGAGCAGTTTGTGTCAGAGCTCTCTCAGCCCCACCCACCTCACAGGGTGTCTGTTGTGGGGAGGGGAAGGGAAAGGAGTTTGTAAGCCGCTCTGAGACTCCCAAGTGAAGGGCGGGGTATAAATCCAATCTCTTCTTCTTCTTCTTTCAGAGCTGTTCTCTCAAGGGCAGTTCTCTCAAGAGCTCTCTCAGCCCCAGGGTGTCTGTTGTGGGGAAGGGAAGGGGAAAGGATTGTAAGCCACTCTGAGGCTCCTTCAGGGAGTGAAGTGCGGGGTATAAATCCAGTCTCCTCCTCCTTCTTCATAAATACATTCTAAATAAGTGATCTATGTAGTCTGGAGGTCACTTGTAATTCCAGGAGATCTCTAGCCCCCACCTGGAGGTTGGCAACCCTAAAAGAGCCCTGCTGGATCAGACCCGTGGCCCACCTAGTCCAGCCTCCTGTCTCACACAATGACCAACCAGTTCCTCTGGAGGGCCAACAACAGGGCATAGAGGCAGAGGCCTTCCCCCGATGTTGCCTCCCGACTCTGGCATTCAGAGACGTATTCCTTCTGAATACGGGGGTTCCTCTTTAGTCCCCATGGCTAATAGCCACGGATAGACCTCTTCTCCATGAATCTGTCGAATCTCCTTTTAAAGCCATCTGCGCCCCCGATGAATGTGGATCTTTTCACCAATATCGGCAGGAAGCCTGCCTTGGCATCTGTTCCTGCTTCCGCCTTCCTTTTTGAGGCACCAGGGAGTAATATCAATAATAGGTTTCCCCCCAAAAAAACAATTTTTATTCTTTTTCAAAAGGAATACAGAATTCAACATTATAATACACAAATATAGGTTGCTTCACTTAGAAAGCTTATAGTATTCTTTTTTCTTCTTCTCTATCTCATAACAACTTACATTCTTTCGGAATACAGAATACAGAGTGATAAACTTATAACTTGTCAACTGTAAATCATTATTTTATATCTAGCTTTATTGATGCTTTCCCAATTAAAGTTATCAAAGGTTATTTTTTCTATCATGGGGAACCATTTTCCTAAGGGATTATATATTTCACATTCATTCCGGTCATTTGAGTTATATATAGATATCGTTTCAAGCATGAAGAAGTCCCATATCTTGTGAAACCAAAATTCTATGCTAGGAGAATGATTGTCTTTCCAGCATTTGGCTATAGTAACCTTGGCAGCTGTTATTAATATGTTGATCAATCGTTTTCTAGTATTAGGTATATCATTATTTGGCCAGAGATTTAAAAGCAACAATAATATCAATAATAGTTAATATTGAGGAGGTAAATAACCAGAGTCCTTGGGAGTTCAGTGCCGCATGACAGGAAAAGTCCAACAACAAGGGTTCTGTCATCGATCTACATGCTCTTGTAGGGTTGCCAGATATCATTCTTTGAACTGTAGCTTGGCTGCAATTTTTAGGAGCTAAGCATAATAAGAACTGATTAACCCTCTAAGCTCCATTGGAACCAGGGGTTACAGCAGAGCCATAAGAACATAAGAGAAGCCAATGTTGGATGCGGCCAAAACCC